CTATATAGGACTGTCGGGTGGGGAAAATAGTCAAAGCACAATGATTGTGCCCGTTGTTTGTGAGGATTCACACAAAGTGCGCAGTAGTTGTTTACGTTATCTAAAGACCTCCCGCGCAGAAACAAAATACCTCAGAAGGGGGGAGGGGGTGGCGAGAACGTCCACTGTCGTCTTTCGTTACAAAAGTTGTACCAAAGCAAATGCAAAGAAGTAGGCGAGGTTACATTTTTTGGCAAATGCGTTCAGTTGTGTAGGGACACACACAAAGAATGTAGGTTGAGGATTGGAGGGTGTCTGAAACTTGCAAATTGAGCACAGGTGAAATCCAAGGAGCAACGGACTTGAGCCCTATTCATCGTTGGAGTCCTCCGACGCGGCGTCCTTAATGCGAGTCAAACGAGAGCGAGTACCACTTGCAGAATCGCCTTTACCGTCCTTTGGAGTCCGCGTCTTACGCGTTGGCTCCGGCATAGTCTCGCCAAAAGCCTCTAGCTCCTCATGAAGAGACATCATGTTGTCAGCCATGTCGTTGGACCATTGCGAGATTTCCACGTGCTTAGATCCGTCGCCCTCCTCACCAAATGCGTACTGAAGACAGAGCCAATAGAAAAATGCATCATGCAAATGAGTAGCCATTCCACAGCTGAGGAAATAAAAAGACCACTTAACGGTAATTTCATGTTTCTTCGTGTCAAATTCCGCGGTCTCATCCGAAACGGACCTTTTTCAGGGGATGGAAGTGGTAAAAAAAACAAGTCGCTCTATGTGATTTCTCGCACACAAACTACATAATTAGAAATTTTTCTGAAACCAAAGGACACTCTTTCTTGAAGTATAGAAATTAAAGAAGGTGTAACTTGTTACCAAACGAGTACAAGATAGATATTTTTCGTGCATCTTTTCCTTCTTAACGTGGCTTTTATAGTGCTGCCCAGCGGGACCCTACCTAGCAAGGTGTACTTACTTGTACTTGTTACGGCTGTGATCATGCCTGATCTAGCCG